TTTACAGTTTGTACATAAGTTTAGACTATAATTTTGTCATTTTTGGTTTAATATTTAATGATTTACAGTCTTCCGAAGTCAAGATATCAAAACTGAAAATTTTCGACTTTTTAGCTATTTGTTTTTGTACTTTGTATTCTGTGAAAATGTTAACACATGCATATCTCATTTGTTTAAAGTCGGATTGACATGCAGTTTTTTCCAGAGTGTATTTTAGAGTTTGTACATGATTTTAGAGTTACAGTCCCCCAAATTCGGGATATCAATATTAACATTTTCAAAGTTCAGCCTACTAAATAGTAAGTAATTACCAAAAAATTCCGGTTTTTCCGGTTCTAAACCTACTTTATCCAGTTCCAACCTACCCACTTTGATGTTTCTGGGTTTTCCGGTTCTAGACCCACTTTACTCGGTACCGTATCCGGAACCGATTCCTACATACAGCTCTGGTTTCCGGTTCATCAAAAACTCATTAAACCGGTTTCGGGTTTTTCAAGTCCGGGTCCGGGTCCATCCGGTCTGGGTTTGGACCCACTTTCATCCCTATTTTGATTGTATCATATTTATACATATGTTTATGCATTATTTTAATACATTTCAGCATTAATTTAGTAAAATGAAAAGATATTTGGTATTTATATTGTTTAAAGTCTATCTTGTAGCCAAAATGGACATTCTCAAGTAAAACGGACTGAAATTGACAAAACCTAGATACTTGGAGGTTTGGAGCTTAAATTAGGATAAGAAGGAAGAAGAAATTGAGCATCTTGTAACCAAATGGACATTCTCAAGTAAAAAGGATTGAAATTGAAGGAAGGTAGATACTTGGAGGTTTATAGCTTAAATTAGGAGAAGAAGGAAGAAGAAATCGAGCATATTGGAGTTCCCACAATGTGGACAATTACTTTCCATGGCATGGCATTTGGAATCTTCTTGATTCATACATAAATACCTTTCTCACGACGTGAGAACATATCAAACCTAGAAACTTCTACGGACATGAATGGAATTCTTGGCACATACAAGATCATTAAGTTTCTCACAACGTGACACTCTTTTGTCACGATATGAGAGCTGGATTTTTGAAAGTATAAATATCGACTTCTAGGTCGAATTCAAAAGACTTTGGTAGAGAGATGCGATAGAAAAGCGACTAAAACCCTTCAAAGAACCCTTATAAGACTGAAGAAGATTAGAGATCTAGAGATTAAGAGATTGGAGGAATAATACAACATCATTTATTAGATTTGCTAGTTTTCACTATGTCTAATCTAGTTGAATCAGATTTAATGTTTGTTTCTGCTTTGACCATGGGTTAAAACGATTTACTTTCGTTTACTGATGATGAACCCTAATACTATGTGTTAGTTTCTATTTTCATGGATTATTAAAGTTGGTTTAGCTTGTGTTTGATACATCACTACCTCGTATGTTAGATGATCACTAACCATAGGAAAAATGGTGATTCAAAGCTAAATCGAAGTGTCTTAATTGTCTTTATTTTAAGAGTTTTTAGTAATTAATTTAAATTAATATAAACTTGCAACATCAGATAACCCCCCCCCCCCCATCTTAGTTGGTTTTATTAGTTTAACTTTTAGTGGTTAGTTTATTAATTTAAATATTGTTCCCTGTGATCGACACCCGACTTAATTACTATTCTATAATCTGACTACGTACACTGTCTATTTGCGTTTTAGCTAGTTAAGTTTGGTTAGGTTTATTAATTAAAAACTAATATATATATATATATATATATATATATATATATATATATATATATATATATATATATATATAGACACACACACACACACAATATACGCGTCAACTTTTATTGGACATTCCTGTCTAAAAAGCAACGATTTTTATGGAGTAATAGAAGTAAGAAAGCGTTCTGGAAAGTATGAATGGATTGCTTGATAGATTAAGAGCTTAATCCATTAAGATGTAGGAGCCCAATTTCCACGACATGACAACTTGATCTCCACGACGTGACGTTCACGTTATCACAACTATTTTGACCTTATTCTACCACGACGTGACCAAAGGGTGGCCATGACATGGGGGTCAGCTGGGGCTGATTTTGACCATTGACTGTTGACTATTTGTCAATTTGAAGGTTTTAGGGTGTAGACTGAGAGGGTATTTCTATATTTTTATTTAGGTGTCTTATAGTATCTGTCTTTACTATCAGACAGTTGTTGTGTTAGTCTGATGTTTGCGAGGTGAGTCTTTTCATTATTTTACCTATGTCATAGTGGGGTGCATGCTAGACTAGTTGAGTCTTATTTGTTGAATGTTGTTATGTGTGCTTATTGAGTTTTTGATAACTCCATGACTATTGATAGTCCGTCAGGTTGCTGATAACATATAGGACTATTGTGAGCCCATAAGACTACTGATAGTCCCAGGGTTGCTGATAACCCAAAGCTAATTTTGTGTTGTATGCAGTATTTTGAGGAACCCAATAAGTTTTGTGGTTACATTTGTAGATTTAAATGTGTTTCAGGCAATTCAGATGATCGTGGGAAGGCGAAGACTTAACTGTACACTCTCCTCGACAACTTTCATGATTCTGCATTTTGTGATACTTTGATTTTTGAGATGATTGTATTTTAATACTTATGATTTTTTTGACTTGGTTATTCTGGAAACAATATTTTATTTAAATTAAAAATAAAAATTTTAGTTGTCATTTTTGGGACATTACAACTTATTTGGCGTCGAAAAATGAAATAGCTTTGAAGAGTGTTTATCTAGATCCTGCATGATTTAATACACAAATTCCTAATTTGGATAAAAACAATGTGAGACTTTCTTCACTTGATTGGAACACGCGGTGTACTAATCTATCATCTAGTCGACTCTCAGGTGTTTTTAACAAGAGAAAATAAAGGAACGTGAAGTAAATATATGTTTTTGAAAGAAATGAAATACAAAGAAATGTGTTTTCAAGTTTTATTGGGATCGAATGAAATTTGAAAGAAATGGATGAAAAGTAAAACCTTTTTTTCCCTTAATATATTTCTTTTCGAAAATGAGATGATTGGTAAGAAAAATGCACTTGCATAGAAGTTTTGATAGTTGTTATCAAAGACAAGTAAATAGATGTTTTGACAGTCGATTTCAACCAACTATTTGTATACGATTTGATAGTTGTCGTTAGGGACAAGCATGTTGGCATTTTGATAGTCGTCGTCAACCTCTTATTCCGGGCAAAGCACATTGGCCAATCGTGTAATTTTTATCTAAATATAGTTATGTTTGATTTTATTAAATTTTTGATTTCTTATTGACTTTTTCTAAAATGTTTTATTTGATTCATATATATGTAATACACTAAAATGAACTATCGGATGGTAGGATTGGTACCGAAAAAAGCGATGAGCTATATGCAAGCGTACCTCATCCGCAACGCAATGTTTGCTTCGTTTTCACATGGTGGGTAGATGCAGTTGGTAATCATGTTTAATCGTTCATACTTCATAGTTCCCTTTATGTTACTCAATTTCACTTTTCTCATATTTCTCACATCACTTTCGTATATTTACTATACAATCCCTCTAATAATTTTGTGTATTATCTTATTTTCATTTTGTCTTCAGATTTCTTTTTTAGCAATAAGTATATGAGAAATTAAAAATAGGACTTCAAATCAATGATCTGTTTGTCAAAAGTAGCTACTATTTACTAGTTGAAACTATAATTTTTTTTTATATAGAAATGTTTTGACAAAAGTAATTGAAATTAAAAGTTTTTTTATATGTTTAAAATGTGTAAAATCACATAGACAAATTTATTTGATTGGTCCATATGATAATCAAAGGTCTGTTCTTATATATTTTTTTGTCATATGGATCATTCATGTTGTTTTATTTTTTTGTATGGTTAGTTATTGACCCATATATTCTATTCAATATATCTTAGAGTTTTTTTTATTAGTTTTAATTTGTTTAGATGTTAAAATAAGGTGTCCCACCGTACCCATACCTACAAACATCTCGTGTCCTTCTTCCTTTTATTCCCTTATCCGCCACATTCCTTTCAATTTCTATAGTTTCGTGAAACGTAATTTGAAAATGAAATCAATAGTTAAACTAAAAACCTAAAGAAGATATTGGTAAATATATGTTGAACTCAAGATTATCTCTCGAAAAGAGTACTTGTGGAGAAAAGGGAGACTCGAACATATATAATCACTTATAAGATCATGTCACACCAATGTGGGACACACTAACTGTGAGACGTTGCAACAAATGATGTCCCATTCAAACTCGTTGTCTTCTAATTTCTAATGGGTTGTATGTTTTGATTTCTAGTTGTGTTCCGTGTTAGTTTAATTTCAAGTGTGTTATGTTTTTTAATTTCAAGTTTGTGATTTCCTTTCAAGTTAATGAAATTTAAGTTTTTGTTAAAATAATCTGTTTATATTGATTTCTTTATATAAATTAAATATTAAAAACTTAGCATGATGCGTAACAACCCATACTTTGTAAATGACAAAAATTTGAAGTAGCGTGACAAATATTATGAGACACCTATATAGAGTGTGACAAGTTTAACACTAATTTATTAAGAAGTAGAGAAAGAAATAATTAGTTTAACACTACTCCTTTCGGTCTAAGAGGTTCACAATAATTTATTAAGAAGTAGAGAAAGAAATAATTAGTTTTTTAAAATAAATTATTTTGGGAACACATTTTTCTCATATTTTGAAATGGCGTTACGAATAATTTATTTCCTAAGCCTTCTTCCTAAGCCTTCTTCAGAAGTTGATGCACATACGATAGAGTTATAAATCTTGAACTATATATATTTCTAAAATTATTAAATCGATTTCATCATTTCGGTTTTGGTAAGCCAACGTTATTGCCTATATATATACATCTATATGCTTCTCTTTATCTTCCTCTCCTTCTCACCAAAAAGTTTATCTAGAGATCAACCACTACTCACCGGAACCTTTCCCTACTCTCCGCCGGAGTTCCATAACCACAATGAGCCGGAAAGACGGTTGTGGCCATCACCAAGCAGATGAACGCCGGAAACACTACCGCCAATTAATCGGAACCCTTATCTCAGTCATTTTCATAATTCTCTTCGTAATCCTTCTCATATACCTCATCCTCCGCCCCACAAAACCTCACTTCACCCTCCAAGACCTCACCCTCTACGCCTTCAACATCTCCGCCGCCACCACCACCCTCACCACCAACCTCCAAATCACCGTCTCCTCCCGTAACCCAAACGCTCGCATCGGAATCTACTATGACAAGATTGACGTGTACGCCACCTACCGGAGCCAACAGATCACACTAGCAACACTAATCCCGCCGTCGTACCAAGGCCACAAGGACATCACTGTTTGGTCGCCGTACCTCTATGGCACTGATGTTCCGGTGGCGCCGTACCTCGCCATGTCTTTGGCTCAAGATGAGTCTGCCGGAACTGTGTTGGTTAACGTTAAAGCTGCCGGAAGAGTGAGGTGGAAAGTCGGAACTTTTGTTTCCGGTGGGTACCGGTTGAATGTGAATTGTCCAGCGTATATAACGTTTGGGAACAGGAACAGTGGTTATGCCGTTGGTCCTGCCGTTAAGTATCAGTTGGTTGAAGGGTGTACAGTAGATGTTTAACGTTACAGGTTCTAAGGCCGTTAAATAACTGAAATGCAATTTTTGGCTTTGGTAGGATTATCGGAATAGAATGTAAAGGAAATCAAGAGGAAGGAAATGTTGGTGGAATTTCTATTTTAATGTTTATAATCTAATTTTCTTTTATTTTTTTGGCATAAATTTTCATTTCAGATTTTGTGTTAGAGAATAATAATACTGTAAATTGAGGACCGGAAACGAGGTTTTTACATTGAAAGTTTTAAGTTTAAAATCACAAAATTGTAAAAATGGTTCTTGTGGTATGCATTTTTTTGGGGTTTTAGTCAAAACCTTGATTTTTTTGGATTTATGATCCTTTTGGCCTAGTTTGTACGTAGAAATGGTCCTCCGACTTAACTTCCGTTAAGTTTTTGCTGTTAACCCCCTTATGTGCATCTCACATGAGGGTATATTTATCTTTTCACATATAAAGGATCATTTTTACACCTAAAATTTTTAAAAAAATATATAAAAATTAATACCTATTTATTTATTTTAAGAATTAAAAAATAAAAAGGTCTCTCTCTCTCTCTCTCTCTCTCTCTCTCCCCTCTCTCTCTCTCTCTCTCTCTCTCTCTCTCTCTCTCTCTCTCTCTCTCTCTCAACCCAAAACACTCCACCATCTTCTTCTTCAAGTTCATTAACATACATCTAAAGATCGATGAAGAACTATGAATCATATCTCCCCCACCATACCTATGTCTCCTTTAAGTCGCATATTCCCCCTCATTTTTTTTCTTTCTATGATGAGACCATCTTCTGCCTCTGGCCAAGGCTTAACTAGTGACGACATCGACTTCATCCTCTTCAATCTCCACTGCATCTCCTATACCCTGCACGTTCACCATTTGAACTACATCTTCTTCCTCTTGCCTATCCACCAGCCACACACATCATCAAATATACCCATTATGAGCTAATTGATTTGATAGTTAATATGTGTGAAATTAAGAAAACGATGGAGGGTGCCTCTTTTTCTCAAGATCGATGTGCGTTCCCTTTTTCCCAAGGTCAACCCAACCATCTTCTCTTTCATTTTTCTATCCAATTACACGAAAAAAATCAATATCAGCCCCTTCCCTTTCAATCAGCTTGCAGGGGTGTGTGTGTGTGTGTTTTCTCTTTAGTCGGCCCAATAACCCAATAAGAATCAAGATAGATCTATTTGTGTTGAATTTGTAGGTCCGATTTAAGAGAAAAAAGAAAAAGGAATAACAAGATGGAGGAGGGAACATGTGTTGGTTGTTTTGTGCTTTTTTCACACAGGTATCAATAATCATGGCTGGAATGGGGAATTAATTGTTGTATTGAGGCTGTTGTGAAGATGATGGTTAGTTTAGGGATGTTGGTGGTCAGAATGGATTCTTGGTAGGGTTTGTCTTTTATCCTCCAAAGGAACAAATTGAAGATGATTGTTAGATTATTCATCCCAGGTTCATCAATTATATGTTAGATAATTCATCCCAATTATGTGTTAGATCATTCATCCTAGATTGTTAGATCATTCGACAATTAATAGCCCTCACAAAACGCGTAACAGTGAACAAGGGTGGCGGTGTAAGGAGGTGGTGTTAAAATGTAGCAGCGGTGGTTAATGGGTGGTCGACGGAGCTATAGGGTGGCAATGGTGTTACACTTCTAGGGCAGCGAAGAAACAGGTAGGAGGGTGGTGTCCTTTCATTTGAGTCTAAATTTCGAAAATTTTTACAAGTGGGTCTCAAATCAGATTTCCAAAAATCAAACACCAATGTTCTTTCTAAATTGCAGA